AATTGAAATGAAATGACTGGAAAGAAAGGAAAAAGGTAAGGAAAGCGGAAAAGAGAAAAAAAAGGAAAAGAAAGAGGCAAAGAAAAGCAAAGGACAAGTTAAGGAAAAGTAAAATAATATAGTAAAGAAAGGAAAGAATAGAAAGGAACTTAAGAAAGGAAAGGAAAGGCAAATAAACATATGAATTGTCCTAAGAAAGGGAATAATTATATGAAAGAAAGATAAAGAAAGAAAAGAAAAGATAAGAACAGAAATAAGAAAGAAAAAGGAAAGAAAAGAACGAAACATAAGAAAGAAAAGGAAAGGATATTCAAGGACCCCTATGATAGGGTAAAAGAAAAAATAGAAAGAAAGAAAGAATGAAAGAAAAGAAAAAGAAAGAACTAAAACGAGAAGAAAGAAAACGAAAGAAAAGAAAAGTAAATATAAGGGAAAAAAGGAATGAAAAGAACGAATCATAAGAAAGAAAATGAAAGGATACTCAAGGACACCTATGAAAAGGTATAAGAATGAAATGGGAAAAAATGAGAAGAAGGAATTATAAGAAAGGAAATAATTATATGGAAGGAAGGATAAAGAAAGAAAGATAAGAACAGAAAATATAAGAAAGAAAAAGGAAAGAAAAGAATGAAACATAAGAAAGAAAAGGAAAGGATATTCAAGAACACCAACGAAAGGTGTGAGAAAAAATAGAATGAAAGAAAAGTAAAGAAAGAACTAAAATCAAAAGAAAGAAAATGAAAGAAAAGAAAAGTAAATATAAGAAAGAAAAAAAGCAACCTAAAAAATGGTAAAAAGAAAGAAAAGGACAAGAAGGAATCAGGATATGAAAGAAACGATAAGATAAAATAAAATGAGATATGTATGAAAAAGCATAAGAAATGAAAAGAAAAAAAGTAAATACAAGAAAAATCAAGGTTACATAGGAAACAAAGAAAAAGAAGAAAGATAAGGAAATATTACAAAGGTAATTTAAGCTAAAGAAGCAATGCATAAGGAGGCATTAGAAAGAAAGGGGAAAGGAAAGAAAAGAAAAGGTAATTAAAAGGAAAAGGGAGACTAAAGAAAGAAAAGGTAGGTAAATAGGAATCACGGAAAGTTAAGGAAGCATAGAATGAAAGTAAAAAAGATAAGTAAGTAATTAGACGGTTAGCTAATACTAAAATAGAAAACAAAAACAAGGAACGTGAAAGTGAAATATAAGGTCAGCTAACATATTTTCCCCCTCTAGGGACCTTCTTTTGTTTGCACTGTTGAAGCTTGTCAACTACTGTGGTAGTCAATGACAGCCATTTGTTCTGTTGATTCAGAACGGTTAAGAACTTTATTATTATTATAAAGTTTCATATTATGTTAGAGCATAATAACACAAACTAAACTACATTGCGGTACTTTAAAACTAATTACGGTATAACGATTGAAGTAAAAAAGATAAAATTACACCACAAAAACTTGAACTTATTCATCAAGTATTAGGTTGATAATTTTTAAAAAGTAATTCTTCATTATCACAGGCGTAGACTGCGGGTGCATACGCTCTCTCCACACTAAGGCAATTGCGTTATACTGAGAGGGATTAAATTAATATTGATTTTTATATTTAAAAGGAATTTATCATGTCTTAAACTCAGTGTTCCACAATTATAGCAGAAACAAGGGACAAAAAGTATTATCCCAAATTTTCTTTCAAATTCGTAAATTGTTCGCATTTTTCAAGGCCTGAACCAGGCTTATCTGATACCTATGTACTTATGAGATACCAATTCGCACAATTTAATAAATCACAACACTAGATTAAAACATAATTATTTCATTTTTAACATATTTAGGGATATTTAGGAGGCATTTACATGGGAGGGGAAATTATAAACTGGGAAGGAATTATGTTTTATTCCCTTTCACACTATAAGCTTAATCTTGAGCCGTAATTCCTGGCCCCGAAACCTTGACTCAGAAGTACCGGGTTGGTGTCCGGGATAGTTTTCTACCAAAGTTTTTAATATTATTTATTTTATTGTACTGTGCTAATTACTTTTTGTTGTTGTTATTGTACTGTGTTTTTGCACGACCATATTGTAAAACAGCGGTAAGATCTCGCCTGTTGTCCTGCCTAAAGATGTTTTAATTTTTTTTTTAATTAATAAATAAGTTAACTAGGCCTAGGCAGGGGTGGCCCCAGATTTTGCCTGACGGGCAGGGGGTCCGATGTCTCATACGAGGGAGGCCGGGTGTGGTCCAGGGAAGCAACGCCCCTGAAACTATGACAATTTAGGGGTTTCAAAGGCTTATTTATTGGATTGTATAGAGTCTATATACTTATATTTATTGGAAAAACTTAGGGAAAGTTTAGGCTATGCAAAATTAAAAGAAACTAAATAGTTATTGTGTAACACTAAACTAATTAAATGATAGGTATATATTCAGTCAATACTAAACGGTCAAGATAATTACAAAAGAGTGTATTATGGGGACATAATTATGGAAATCACTGGGTATACCATCATTAAATTATGCTTGTTGCTCAACCTGGGAAGCACTGGTTTCAGATGGCACTAATTATTCTCCAAGCACCTTGCATAACCTACAAAGAGTCACTATATGCAGAACTGGGTTGGTACTCATTAGAGTCTATCCATGACTGCCAACGTGTAAACTTCCTTTGCAGATTAAGTAAACTGGACGTAGCCCGATGGCCACGTTTAGTACTTGATGCACGGTCGAGTACTTTACCTCTCAATAGTAAAATAAGTTAATGGACAAATGATTTAAATGACACTGTTCATTGTGTAAATCTGGTTCTGAAGATATTGAACACCTGTTGAACACCTGTGAATTTAATAGTATTCGTATAGATGAATTTATGAAGCGTGAAAAGATACTATACTATGCAGAGAGCAGCTTAGGTCAGTCGACTAATCTGGTGGTAGCCACTGTGTGTGCGCTAAACCGTGGAGATCTCTGGTCCCCGGTTAATTCCCATCGCTGCCACTCCTTGAATATACAAAGTTACAATAGCGCACCGTCTTTCGGATGAGACGTTTAAGCCGTTTGTCCCTTGTGCATTTATGGCCCATGTGCACGTTAAAGAATGCAATACACTTTTCGGAAAAGAGTAAGGTGTTGTCTCATAAAACCTAATGCAAGTCATACAGGTCTTTTCTATGCCGCCACGCACCCTTGTTGATTCCGTCTCCGAAATTAAACACTTGGGCATCAAAATCACAAACGATTTAAAGTGATTCTTAATTTTTGACTGTGGACAATTGACTCTCGATAGCACTGTAGTAGCATTAAATAATTGAATCTTGAAGTTCTCTCTCTGTTGTTCTGATCACTGTGTTTTGTCAGTAGCCTTCTATTCAAGTCATACAGTATGGCATTACATCGACTTTTGTGCTGCCAAGTTCCGTCTCTGTGTTTTGTTCTGCTCACTGTGATTCGTCAATAGCATATTTTACAGGAATAATACAAATTTTGGTGTACCACAAGATGCAGAAAACGTTTTGAATTGTTCAAAAATAGGCCTATATATATATATTATTACTTTTAAATATTAGTATTTACCTTTCTTTGATTATTTATACATAATTTAACAGCGTTAACGGCTATCTTGATTATTATTATATGTTACTATTTATTTCCAGCCGTACTTAACGCCCTCTTATCATACCCACCCCACACCCCCTCCCCATATTGAAAACAATACGACATAGGGCTTATCTTATTTATAATATAGGCCACACACTAAATATAAGCATTTTCATCATGGTTTTTTTTATTCTTTCACTATCAATACACATTGAGGCCCTTCTTTTAGGTTAAAACGATCTATCTTAATTTTTTCTTTCTTGAGTTTGGGACTATTATGTATTTAAATAACTTAAAAGGATAACGGCTATCTTGATTATTATTATATGTTACTATTTATTTCCAGCCGTACTTAACGCCCTCTTGAGGTGCACTATCGTTGTGTAATACAGTGTAGCTGACGGTTATTTGAATCCGTTCAACCATGAAGCATCTGTAGTCTAATGGTTATGACGCTCGCTTTGACAGCGAGAGGTTGCAGGTTCGAATCCCGTCGGAGGCATTGTATTACACAATGTATGCTCTATAAACAGGCGCGTAACAGGGGTCTTGGGTCAGGGGTGGGGGCCA